TACCCAAAGGTCTCTGGGCGGCTTACAGCATTTAAAATACAATAAAGATATGTACAATTAAAATACAATTAAAAAATATATAAAATTGCCATCAGACCCACAGTTAATATTATTTCAGTTAAAAGCCTTCTGGAACAGGAAGGTTTTGACCTGGCGCCGAAATGTCATCAGTGTCGGCGCCAGACGAATCTCAGTCGGGAGGGCATTCCATAGTCTGGGGGCAGCTGCTGAAAAGGCCCTTTGTCTGCAAGCCATCCCTCTTACCTCCTTAAGGGACGGCTCTTTCAAAAGGGCCCCCTGGCTAGATCTTAACTGCCGGGTAGGTTCATATGGAAGGAGGCGGTCCAGACAATTTATACTCCATAGCATCTTCACTCTAGCAAGGCAGTTTAATCTGGTTTCTTCCTATAGTCTGGCAGGCCTAAAACAGCAACTGCTCTGAAATGGGAGTGGTGCAGTTGAAACCTTCTAAATTGGTTGGCGAGTCTTGCCTTTGAGTCTTGCCTTCTCATGATACAGAAAACCATAGGTTTAAGCCTCTGGCTGTGGAGCCAGAAGTTGGGAGTTCGATTCCCCATTGTGCTTCCTTGACAGGAGCTGGGCTTGATGATCCATGGGATCCCTTCTAGCTCTGAAGTTCTAAGATAAGGATGATGAAATTCAAGAGAAAATTGGACAACCATCTCTCAGGTCTGCTTTGACTTGGATTCCTGCATTGAGCAGGAGGTTGGCCTCAATGACCTTCTAGGCCTCTTCCAGGTCTATGATTCTATGAAATATGAGTCAAGAAAGAGATGAGAGAGAAGTTTCTAATTGCCAAAGATGTCCCTTTTCTGGTGAGATCATCACCCTTCCAGAGCAGTAGCTTATGCCATAGGATTCTAGTCAATATTTCTAACATTAGCATCTACAAGCAACATAAGGTGTTGAAGTTCTAACATGTTGACATGAAAGGATTTTTAACTCAGCAGTTACTAAGTAAATGTGGTAAAACTTTTCTGCTAGCGTTCCAATTTCCACTTAGAGTCACTCAGAAACTAAGGGGGGGAGGGGCATATGATGATAGTGTGTTCTATAAATTGAAACAAATGGTTTGAATGGAGCCCGGGGCTCCTGGTGACTCTTGGAGATTCTGAACCCAGAGCCCATGTTGGATGGGGCCTGTATTGGTTTATTCAGTCTGATGAATGCAAAGCTCCACACTTGAAATTTTCCATCTAAATACAGTACTTGCTCTCTCTTGGTCTGTCTCATATATGCTTGAGCAGGATTTGCTGTCATCAAGCCTAATTTGATTCCTGGCTTAAGCAAAACCCATAGTTCCCAGACCATCTCATCTAGTAGACCATGGAGGATGCATCACAGCACAAGACAGGTGAGGAAATAAAAACATGAGTTGTAAGAACTGCACATTTCCTTTACGTTCTAGAGCAGCATTCTCAACTTTTTTTTTAACTAGAGCCATAAACACAATATAAAAGAAATATAGGCCGAATCAGGATTGTATAAGTCGCATTATAAGGCAGTGTGCGAAGAATTGTTTCTAGTCTGTGTCCCTCTTCAAATGTGCTGGGGGGCCATATGACCCCCCCCCATTGAGAATGGCTGGTCTAGAGGAGGGGTGGGGATTATTATTGGATTTCAATTCCAGTCAGCCCTAGCCAGCACAGCTAGTGGGAGCAGATGGTGGGAGCTGAGCAAGGAGCATGCTCATCCACAAATAAACATCCTAGCTGTAGATCCCAAAACTGTAAAATGAAAATATTGTTTAAATTAAGCAGGAAATGTAGCATCTTTGTTGGTTTGCTCAGCTCCATGCTTCCAGCCTTAAATCCCACCTTTTTCTTTTTCTGTATCTCAAGCAGCATTTCCACTCAGCAAGCCAGATTTGATCTCCTGGTTTGAGCCAGACTCTTTGTTCCCGGATCAGCTCATCTTGGAGAAAACAGAAGTTGCATCACACCACAAGGCAGGTCAGGAAACAAAAACACAGATTTTCCACACATCTCTCATGGAAACAAGTTTGGATGACTGTCGGCTCCATTTTAAAGGCAGCGGGCACTCACTTTCTTCTGTCAGGATTTCCAGAGGTGACTAGTTGGCCACTGTGTAAATACCATGTTGGACTTGCCTAGAACAAAAAGATACGAGTGCCTATTGCCTTCATTACTTGAGTTGGCAGTCATCCTAATTAGTCATCCTTTGGTCTGACCCGACATGGTGTTTTTTATGTTTTTGTATCTGTGCGGGTTCGACTTTTGGCTCCAAGTTCGTTTCAAAGAAATCAGTTGATTTTTGTTGTTTCAAAAACAGGTGAAAGATTTATTGGTGCATTTAACGATAAACAAGTGTCTGGAGCATGATTGTGAGTCTTTTCTCCTTCTGCCAATGGGTCCGGTAGGGGTTTCCAATCTTAAAACAGGAACAGGTTTCCATAACTGTTGTCCTATGGTCCCGGTAGGTCAGAGGGGACCCAGTCTCTTATGGTCGGCCCCGTCGGGCCTTCCAACAAGGGCACGGTCTTGTTGTCCAGGTCATCATCCCACAGGATCTGTCCATCAGGGTCTTGTCTCTCCTAGGATCCTCCCTGTAACTCCTTCTCTTCATCTCCCTTACTCTCTATACCAATTTTTCTCTCCTTTCTCTCTCAACTCTCTTTTTCTCCCTTCTCAGTCTCCTTCTCCACTCTCTCACCTCAGCTTCTCCCCAATAAGAGGGTGTAGTTGGAATCTCTGCTCTCCTTCTATATTCTGCCTCCTCCTTGGGCACTCTTAACCTCTCCCATAATCCCGTCCAGGGATCCTCCATCCACATCCATTCCCAACTGGGTGGCAACTGTCCTTCCTTTCTCTCCACCTCCCCTGTTCCTGCTTCAGACTCCATCCTCTTTTTTCCTCTCTCTCCTCGCCTTTTCTCCCTGAACCTCCCCCATCATCATTTCCTGCATCTCTTCTGTCAGCTGCTCTATTTCTGTCTCCTGCTGAGGTCTCGCTGTAGATTCTGGTGCGGGTTTGGGGTCCTCTTCCTTACTTCTTTCCTCTCTACCTCCCCTGCCCCTGCTTCAAACTCCACCCTCTTTTTCCTCTCTCTTCTCGCCTTTTCTCCCTGAACCTCCCCCATCATCATTTCCTGCATCTCTTCTGTCAGCTGCTCTATTTCTGTCTCCTGCTGAGGTCTCGCTGTAGATTCTGGTGTGGGTTTGGGATCCTCTTTGTCTTGCTGCTGAGGAGGGACGGCACCCTCTGTCTCACAGTATCACCTTCTTTATCCTCCTCTTCAACTTATCTTTCAGTACCAAACTCTGAGCTGCTTTCGCACATGAAGCAGGGAGAAGAGCTAAGGGCACTAGATCCTCAGGAGTTGGGTGAAGCAGAAAACTCAGATACCATCTCAGGCAACTCATTAGGTAAGTTAACTTAACTCAACAGGGCCATGACATCTACTGGCAGTTGCCAAGAAAAATTCTTGTCACAGGCTGAGCCATTCTAATGTTTGCCAGTTCATCCTAGAGTCTTTGGAAGTTTAGGGGGCGGGCACATTGACAACCCCTGTAGCCATTGGTTCTCACATCACACTCAATGCGAATTTTATTGCTCAGCTTGTAATGAAAGGACCCCCCCCCTTTAAAATAAGGCACATGCTTCCTTATTTTACAAGAGGAGTCACACTTCCAGATATGTGATTTTTTTCCTTTAGAAAAAAAAAGGTGTCCGGAGACCCCCTACCTTGTTTTAAAGCCTCAGTAGCTTTTTTTTCCTGCTGCCACCACTGAAGGAAAACGTTTCAAATGGGCAGGTGGCACACACAGAACCTGCCATCCCTCTCTTATAACCTCTTTGCAATCAAATAATTTCCATCTTTGCTAAGTAGTAAGCTGACTCACTCAGCTGAACCCACTGAAATGGGGGTCCCATTTGTGGCTAAGGTCCTGGAGAATCCCATCTCTCAGACTTTCCTACTTAAGTTTCTGTTGTTAATAGTCTGACATCGTAGGTCCAAGAGATGTCGCAAACACGGCCTGAAACCAGTGATTTTGCCAGCGAGTTGTTTATCCCCAAGATGATATATTTGGCTATGTTACATGGTTCTGTTACATATTATTTATTTCATGTTCAGAATAATCCCTGTTCCTTGGATAGTGTACAGTACCATAAAGATGCAAAATGTGCTCCCTCTCAGACTTTCCTACTTAAGTTTCTGTTGTTAATAGTCTGACATCGTAGGTCCAAGAGATGTCGCAAACACGGCCTGAAACCAATGATTTTGCCAGCGAGTTGTTTATCCCCAAGTTGATATATTTGGATATGTTACATGGTTCTGTTACGTATTATTTATTTCGTGTTCAGAATAATCCCTGTTCCTTGGATAGTGTATAGTACCGTAAAGATGCAAAATGTAAGCAGAAGAATAGTAACTAAGAAGAGCACATATTAAACCCAAAATACTGTAACAACAGCAGCAAAGAATGGAAATATAATAAATAAATAAATAAATAAAATGCAAGCACAAGAATTGTAACTAAGAGGAGCACATATTAAACCCAAAATACTGTAATAACAGCAGCAAAGAATGGAAATACTATGCCAAGCAAAATAAACCAGCAGCAAGTTCTAAAATTACTAAAAAAAGTTCTTAAAATGGCAGGAAGAATAGAAATCCATTTACCTGAAAACTAAAAGACTACAGTAAAAGGATCAGATATCAATGGGGAGAAAATATCTCCTCTTCTTTCCCCAATGTATCTTTCCATTTAGGATCTTCACAGATTAGTCCTTTCCTGCTCTCTGATGTTCTGTCCCCATCAGATTTGGAGTTCAGTTTTATTTGTTGTTACCTTTGTCCCCACAGATAACAGCAAGGAAATGAAGGCATGCACAAAGGCTGAAAAAACCTTTGTGAGTGAATTGGACCTTACCAAACGTACCAAGAGGCAACCCTACATTTGCACCATATGTGGGAAGCATTTTACTCAAAAGAAGGCTCTTGGCCTTCACAAAAAGGTCCACAAGGGAAAGAAACACTATGGATGTGAAGTGTGCGGGAAAGTTTTTGCTTGCAAGTCACACCTTCGGGAGCATCAGAGAATCCACACAGGAGAGAAGCCCTACAAATGCCAGGAGTGTGGGAAGTCATTTGCTCAGAATTCACATCTAGTGATCCACCGGAGAGTCCACACTGGAGAAAAGCCATACAAGTGCCATGAATGTGGAAAATGCTTTTCTTCCAGTTCAGTCCTTGTGGTCCACCAGAGACTTCACACAGGAGAGAAACCATACAAGTGTCAGGAGTGTGAGAAATGTTTTGCTTCCAGTTCACAGCTTGTAATGCACCAGAGATTTCACTCAGGAGAAAAACCGTACAAATGCCAGGAATGTGGGAAATGTTTTGTTCATAGATTCATACTTATGAGACACCAGACTGTCCACACAGGAGAGAAACCGTACAAATGCCAGGAGTGTGGGAAATGTTTTGCTAACAATTCACATTTTCTTAGCCACCAGAGAATCCACACAGGAGAGAAACCATACAAATGTCAGCAATGTGCGAAATGTTTTGCTCAGAATACACACCTTGTCATCCACCAGAGAGTCCACACAGGAGAGAAACCGTACAAGTGTCAGGAATGTGGAAGATGTTTTGCTCAGAATTCAAACCTTGTGAGTCATCTAAGACTGCACACAAGGGAGAAGCCATACAAATGCCAGGAGTGTGAAAAATGTTTTGCATCCAGTTCACAGCTTTTAATGCACCAGCGGTTCCACATAGGGGAGAAACCACAGAAATGCCAAGAGTGTGGGAAATGTTTTGATAATATGGCAGAACTTTTACTGCATCAGAGAACTCATGCAGGAGAGAAACCATACAAATGTGATGAATGTGGGAAATGCTTTGCTAAGAATTCATATCTGATGAAGCACCAGATAGTCCACACAGGAGAAAAGCCGTACAAATGCCAAGAGTGTGGCAAGTGTTTTGCTCAGAATTCATACCGCATGTTGCATCAGGCACTGCATACAGGAGAGAAACCATACAGGTGCCAGGAATGTGGAAGATGCTTTGCTTTCAACTCACACCTTAAGAGCCACTGGAAAATCCACACAGGAGAGAAACCATACAAATGTGAAAAGTGTGGAAAGTGTTTTTCTCAAAAGGCAGAGCTTGTACGGCATGACACAGTCCACACAGGAGACAAACCATTCAAGTGCCAGGAGTGTGGTAAATGTTTTGCTCAAAATTCATATCTTGTAAGACACCAGGCAGTCCACACAGGAGACAAACCATACAAATGTGAGGAGTGTGGTGAGAGTTTTGCTCATAATTCAGCCTTTCGGTACCATCAGAGGGTCCATACAGGAGAGAAACCATACAAATGCCAGGAATGTGGAAAATGCTTTGCCTCCAGTTCACATCTCCTGACCCACCATAGGGTCCACACAGGAGAGAAACCCTACAAATGCCAGGATTGTGGGAAATGTTTTGCTCAGAACTCACAGCTTGTGGCCCACCAGAGAGTCCACACGGGAGATAAACCATACCGATGCCAGGACTGTGGAAAATGCTTTTCTTCCAGTTCAGTTCTTGTGACTCACCAGAGAGTCCACACAGGAGAGAAACCATACAGATGCCAAGAGTGTGGGAAGTGTTTTGCTCAGAATTCACAGCTTGGCAGGCATGTGAGAGTCCATACAGGGAGAAACCATGAAAATGGCAGTACTGTGGAAAATGTATTACTCACAGTACAGACTTGATTATTTTTTAAAGGCAGCTGTGGTGGTCCCAGATAACGAAATACAGAAGTTGTAGTCTGCGTTTATTTGGTTAAACTAAAATTCCAAAATATTGAGTACGCCGGGTTGTTTCTTTGTACTTCAACCCAGTGCTGCCTCAGAAATGTCAGACCTTTTACTTTACAACAAGTCTTGTATTTTCCAAATTATACCCAGCCTTCCCCATCTTATTAAGTATTTCCTGGTATAATTGGAAACCTGTGTAAATCCTCAAAACTCTGCAGTCTCTGTTTTGGAACTTAGTGGAATGACACACCTCATGGCTAAAACCTTTGGACTTTGATATTTTAGAGAATATATTGAAATGAGGTGCATGTATAAAAGAGGCACCTCTCAAGATGCTGTGAAGTTGTTTGTTATTGGAATTTCTAATGTATTTCAGCCTGTTAAGGTTTCAGGTCCTTCTGTGTGAGAAGAGGAGCAATATATAAGAGGCAGCAGATAAATTCATTTGTAGAGACATCCCAAAATGGAAAAATTGGTACTTACACTGCAGTATTTACATACTTTTCTTGAAATAACATTTTCAGACTTTTTAAAAAAGAATCTCTTGTTACTAGTGACAGGTAAAACATGAATAGAATATTCTGGATTTTATTCTGTCAGATGGGTGCCAGTGGAATACTGTACGTTAATTAGATTCACCCACGATCCTCTCTGTACATGACTAGGCTGAAAAAGGGGGAGAATTTTAAGAAAAGTAGATCATACTGTTACAGGATTGAGAGAACTTCAGTTCTTCATTAAGCTCTAAAACAGCCAAAGTCTTTCATTCTGGAATCTTGTTCTGGTTCTTTTTAAAGATCTTATCACTAAGTACCCTGTCTAAGTACTGTACTCTCTGCTTCCCAGCATCAAAGTCTGTTGCAGAATAATTGGCCAAAATCCTGTTGAATTTTTACACCAGGATAACGCTGTTGGCATAAATTTCATTAGTGAATTGCTGCAAGTTAGCCCAGCCATTTGCTGGTGCGGGCCGAATTGCATGATTCTCTTTTGGCATTTGCATTGAATAGCATGGATGACAGGATTTGCATTGTATATGGTAAACACATGTAAATCATACTTCTAGTGATTGAAGTGGAGTACAAATCCTGTTGTTTTTGAAGTCTGTCAATAAGATGCAGTGCCTGCACAGATGATGAGCCAGGAAATTAATGCTTCCTGAAGCTGAGGTTCTAATACTTTGGCCATCTCATGAGAAGAGAAGACTTAACACATGAGCATTTCTCCCTTTCCTAGTTTTCCACTGGAAATGTTCCAATTTCTTCCTGTCTTCTTCTCCTTTTCCTCTTTTTTTTCTTTCTGACTACATTTTATTTTGTTATATTCAAATAATTTTAAAAAACACAATTATATGTGTGGGCAATCAATACCTGAGGATCCTTGACTGCCTGGATAATGGTTGCTGGAGAATGAACACTACTGCCCATGCCAGACTGAGGCCAAGCTAGAGTCTCCCTCAGTTAAGTGTTTAAAATGAAAAAAGAAATCGCCTCATGCATTCAGAAGAAATAATAATACCAAAGACCGCTGTTTACTTCTGAGTCAAGTTAGGGCTTTTTTGTTTTGTTTTGTTTTTTGTTTGTTTGTTTTTGTAGCCTTTCTGTTGGCCTGTGAAATATGAGAGCAGAATCTTAGTCTCCTGAAGTAAAAATGTTTCCAATTTGGCCTTTTCAGTTGGTACTCTGGTAAAGGTTGGAAGATACTGTTGCAAATCTCATTCCATTCTTTCTGTTGGCCTGTGAAATATGAGAGCAGAATCTTAGACTCCTGAAGTAAAAATGTTTCCAATTTGGCCTTTTCAGTTGGTACTCTGGTAAAGGTTGGAAGATACTGTTGCAAATCTCATTCCATTAGTTACACTGCATAAGGCTGATGATGTCATCTGCTGTGGCGATTTTTCAGTAGTGGAATATTTCTGATTCCTCCCCTTGATCCTGAAACTCCTGTGGAATCCCCTTCATTGTGGGGTAAGATATCCTGGCAGTAGCAACCGTTGAAAATCAAAGAGTCATACCCCACACACCCCATCTTGAGGCCCACCAATGGCTTCTTCCCTTGTCAGGCTTAACTTTTGAAAAATTACCACAGCCGAGGAACTCATTAGTCTACTTCCAGAAACATGATTCCAGCCAGTCATTTTCAGAAAGTTTTGCTGCCAGGGCAGAATGGCATGCTGATATATGTCTCTCTTCCCAGAGAAATTGGCCTCATATATTATGTGCTCATATTTGTTGTCATGGTTTTTAACTAGAAGTGGACTAACTGCTGGATAGTTCAGTGGTTTAGGTATCTGGCTGTGGAGCCAAAAGTTGGGAGTTCGATTCCCGTCTGTGCTTCCCTGATGGACTATACTTGGTCCATAGGGTCCCCTCCACCTCTGCAGTTTTAAGATGACATTATATAAATACCCTTGCAGTTCACTCAGGTAAAGAGAGGATATTGTCATTGGTATGAGGTAAACAATGCCCAAATGGATGCCAGAAAGCAGAAAATCAAGTTCATTTTTTTCTCTTTCTTTTGCAAGCACACATGCATTGAATGCTGCTCAGAGGACTTGATACATTGGTAACCATTTGTCAGTGTTTTCTTGAGAATAATTTTATTTATTTTGGCAGGGAAAGTGATATAGAAAGTTCTTGTAAATTTTCTAAATTAGCTCAGAAGAAAAGTGAGTTGTATATTTTGGCAGCCTACAGGACATGTTCATTTGTGCCAGTTGAATTAAATAATCATGTTTATTTAGTTTCAGTCTGGTTGATGTGTTAAATATCTTGTCATGATATATTCTTGTTTTATTTTGTACTTGTGTGTGTAGAAAAGGCCTGGTTGGATAATAAGCAATAAATGGAACTTGACTGGTCTACTTGAATAATCTGTGTAATCACAAAAACACAACTGTTTGAAGCAGGAAAGGCTGGTATATCTAGCTACTCCGTTATGCCAAGTTACTGCTTTTCAGGCAGTCGTGTTTCCATGATTTAAGAGATGATGGACAGGTTGGGAATAATATGCTCCCGTCAGTGAGTGTGGGTTCCACATGCTTCAAAGCATGAGTAAGGTTTCTTTTACAATCTCATTTGAAGCTGATTTGTTTAAAGTTTTAGAACCATTCAATAAACTTGTTGAATTGTCTCAAACGTTCTGTCATCTTATGACATCAAACAATGGGCAATCAATTTGGGGAGGGGGGCAAATAAAAAAATTGGAATTATAAAGATGGGTTGAAGAATAAATAGGGGTGTGCTCATGAGTCAGAGCAATTAACAACAACAAAAAGGCTCTGTCATAATCCTCCACATTCCATTGCTTCCAAGTATAGTGTGTTTTGAGTTTCGTACAAAGGTACCAAATTTTATACTGACCTAATTAATTTTGCCAAGATGATAGCAGGCTAGGAAGTGCTGAAAGTGGACATGTTGACCACTTTTACTCCCATTAGTCAAAGGACATAGCAAGCACCGTATTTTTCGCTCCATAAGACGCACCTTTCCATAAGACGCACCAATTTTTTAGGAGAAGAAAACAGGGAAATATAATCTGTTTTCTTCGCTCCATAAGACGCACAGACTTTCCACCCCCTGTTTTGTGGGGGAAAGTGCGTCTTATGGTGCGAAAAATACGGTATTTTTGTCAGATGTTGCAGAAATCTGCTGATCAGGCTTCTTAAGGAAGGAAAGTGCTGAACAGGAAGTTGGTGTAATAGTTAAATGTTCAGGACTATGTACCAACAGGATTCTGGCCCAGACATTCTGTATTGCCTACATCCGCACTTCCATTGGCCCCTCTCCAGTCTTTGTTGCCTGTGCCCTTTAGGTAAAACAGCCAAACTAGCCCTGCCATATACAGTATCCTTGAGAATATGTGGAGAGACGTGTATCAGACAAACATACAGAAGCAAGCAAACAAGGAAGAAAACTTTGTGGCACCTTAAAGCCTTACTGCTACAGTACATTTCTCTAATGTGAGCTTTTGTGGATCAAGTCCACTTCCTCAGATATAAGAGTGAGGGTGTTTGTCGTATTTATAAAAGGTCCCAGGAGTAGGTGGTGGAGTACAGATAAATCAACAAAGGGACAGTTTTTTTTAGTAACCAAAGTGACAATTATTCATTTGTGATCAGTCTGAATAAACGAAGGGAGGCAATGTCTTTTTGTACCTGAGCATGTTTCTTTAAGAGGTGCCACAACATTTTTTTTCTTGTCTGATGTGCTTGTGAGACTAAAAGGTACATGTTTCTTTAAGAGGTGCCACAACATTTGTTTTTCTTGTCTGATGTGCCATACGTACATCTTCAAAAACTACAACTTTGAAAAGCACTGGGCTCAGCCAAATAGAGTGAAGATCCGTCTATCCTGTGAACTGTTGGTTTTGTTCATTTACTATCCAATTCTTTCAGTGTCCTGATAAAGTACAAGAAGGCAGGTTCTCAGCCCTGAAGGGTTTACACAGGAAAGGTCTGAGGGTTGCCCACAGAGGGTACATAGTGACACAGACGGTCCCAGCAAAACATGTCCCCCCCAATTGTTTAACAAGCAGGCAATCCAAGAATTATTCATTCCATGGTTGTAATTTTCCAAGAAGTAGCAGCAAGCGTATCGCCAAAAAAAAGGACTGGATTCATCCAAATATAGAGATCTTATTTATTATCATTATAATACCCACTCTTAAGGCCACACTCTTACGTCTGACAAAGTGGACTTCTCCCTGAAAGCTCACGTTAAAATCTGATGCAGAGGTGTTTTAATCCATGAAAGCTCCTGAATTGTAGGATGATTTTTAGTGGTCTATAAAGGTGTTGCCTTTTGTTGGCATTTCGTCATACAATTTGTAATTTTCAACCGCAGTCTTCTGAATTGGAAAGCCCTAACTTCTGCAGTGTGAACGAGTTTTGTCTTCTTTATTTTTTTCTTTTGTTTCCTTTTTTTTAAAAAAAAAGTGTTATCAGGGAAGAGATCTCCAATCACGGGATATTATGGTCTGGGAAAGCAGGAGGGGGCAGAAACAATGAGGGGAAAAAGCTGATGATCATTGCAGGGAGCTTTTCTCTCTCCCGGGCAGAGAAGCAGGCTGTCAATGGCTCCAGCCCGATGGCCGCCCATTCTAAGGTGCTCACTAGATTTTGGGATCCATGGAATTGGGGGGGTCGCGGGTTGCCTTGCCAGGAACCGGGCTCGCCTTCAGTCACATGATGGGAAGTGGAAAGCAAGCTTGCCCCTGCCGGGCAAGAAAGAGGAGCGGTGCAACCTTGAAAGAGGACCCCGCTGAAAGTCCCCCCCGCCACTGGGATGACGATTGCTGCACATCTGGAGGGAGAGGCAACAAGAGGAGGGCGGGTGGGGATGTGAGGGTGCAAGGTTCCTTTGGGGGAAGAGGAGGAATCCGGTAACAAAGCTGGGGGGGGCAATTTGAGGGAGCCGGGAAGGCATAGAGGGCGGCATGTGTTGCTCGTGAGAAAGAGGTTAGAGGCTTGGCTTTCCACGGCTGCTACTTACCATGTGTATCCTGCATTCTTCTCTTATCTCATCGCTCGTCTGTAGTTCAACAGGTCTTGCCTGTGCAGCTGCCGAAGCCTGCAAGATCCAGTCAGCATAGATGAAAGGTAGAGCTGAATGTCCGCCCCATGGGCGAGCTGCTTTTCTCTCTCTCTCTCTCTAAAAACCCCCTTTTTTTGCTCTCTGGTTGTCTGTCTGCACCCGAAAGGGCCAGTCCTCCCAGAAACCAGATGTTGGCGCGGGCGGCATCAGAGTTGTGATGGAAAGGAACAGGGTTCGAATCCTTCCTCTGCGTTTGTAACCTTCCCTTTCCTTGAAAATGCGGAAGATTAGCTGAATATCAGTTATCGGTCAGAGGGGGGAAAAACAGTTATGTTTTGCAATCTGCGTGTGCGTAAGACAGGCAATGTTTGTCTGCCCTCCAGATGTTGATGAACTCCTGGTCCCACCTCCCCCAGCCCAGAATGGCATATATGGGAAGATGGGTGCTATAGTCTCTCTTCTAACAATTTATCCCGCCCTGTCAGTGATAATGGAGATTTCAGAATAGCTGTCTTAGCAACACTCACCCCAATTTCTTATTCTATTAATTATACTATAGCTACTATGGTAATCAAGCAATATTCAGTGTGGTGTAGTGGACAGAGTGACAGATTAGGACTGAGGAGAAATGCGTTCAAATGCCCACTCAGCCATCGAAACTGAATGGGGGTGTGGAGTGGGTAAAAAAGGTAATGGTAAAGGTTCCCCTTGACATTTAGTCCAGTCGTGTCTGACTCTAGGGCGTGGTGCTCATCCCCGTCTCCAAGCTGCAGATCCAGCATTTGTCCAAAGACAGTCTCGGTGGTCACGTGGCCAGCGCGACTAGACACAGAATGCCATTACCTTCCCACTGTCATGGTACCTGTTTATCTACTCACATTTACATGCTTTCAAACTGTTGGTTGGCCGGAACTGGGACAAGCGACGGGAGCTCACTCTGTTGCGTGGATTCGATCTTATGACTGCTGGTCTTCTGACCTTGCATCACAGAGGTTTCTGCGGTTTAACCCGCAGCGCCACCACATAAAACGGGTTTTAACTCGTTTCAGGGAACGGGTAAAACCACTCCTTAAAGACCTCACTTACCTTGAAAGCTCTATAAGGGTTGCCTTAAGTCAATTCCAACTTGATGTCATATAACAACCGCAATAATATGAATT